AATAAACTTTACTATTTCTCTGATAAGATAGCCTAAATCCACTTAGGGGCTCTAAATTCAATTTATTTGCAACACGTAACATTAGAGTTTCATAAGTTAACTTTTTTAATGACAGTTTTAGTTGAAGATTCATGGGTAAAGGCATATATTGTAAAACACCATGAACATTCTCCCATGACCCTCCAAAACACAAATCTATCCAAACATGATCAACATTAGATAATTTCATTATTGTAAATTAATTTACTAAATAAACGAGCTGCGAAACTAAAACCTATTGCCGAATAGGGAAGGATGTCGTTGGATATAGGAACGGATATCGCCGGAGAGAGTGATAGATGGAGATGGAATGAGTTGCGATTTAGGGATTTAGGTTATGAGTTGTTGCTGCTGCGTAGTTATATACCCAAAACATTTGTGTTGCGAAATTAAAACCTGTTGCGAATTCAGAAATCGAGTTGCGAATTTGAAATTCAGTATTGCGATAGTCAGAATCTCGTTGCGATTTACAGATTCGCATTGCGATTTACGTATTCGCATTGCGATTTACGTATTCGCATTGCGATTTACATAGTCAGAATCGTGTTGCGAATCTGGAAACTGATTTGCGATACCGAAGATCGCGTTGCGAATTATCGATCGCATTGCGATTTAGTTGGTCATTTTGGTAAATCCAAAAAAAATTGGTTAAAATCGTATATTATAAGACATTTTTGGTCACTGAGATTATTTTCTCATTATATATTTGTTTTTTTAACAAGTTGAAAAATATTTATATATTTTCTTTAAAAAAATTAAATTCATAAAAATTATATATTTTTTTACAAAATTGAAAATATAAAAATGTTTAATGAAAGGGTAAAATTTTATTTTAACCTCTGAACTTCATATAAAATTTTAATTATAGATTTTTTTTTGTAAATCTAAAATAGTTTAAAGATAAATTTATAATTTAACATTCGTAGAATTTTTATTATTCAATAACAGAATAAGAATATTTTTTTAAAAAAAATTAAAGGCATTTTAGTCCAAAACATCGATAATCCAATAATATATAAGAAAATGAAGATAATGACATTCTCATTAATATACCTAAAAATTAACTATTGATAATATAAAATTACCAAAAATAATATTTTCAACTAACCAAACGAAAGAATATAGATTCAATTTATATGAAAATCTCACATTCCCCACCCAAACACACTTAATAAATTTTATCAGTAAAACCAAAATAAAACTGATCAAACACGAGATGACAAAACCAAAAGACATATCATGGCTCCATCTTCTTCTTCTTCTTCTTCATCTCCTTGTTCTGCTTCTTTCTCCAAATCTCCTCCTCCACCTCACCAGTCCCCCTTTTTCACTCCTGTAGGTTCCTTTTCACCGAAGAAGGTCACTCTTTTTTTCATTTTCTCTTCTCTTCTTTGAATAATTTTCTTTTGTTCTTGTTTTACGGAACAGATTCATGAATGTGAAAGGGAGGGACAAGAAGATGCTAGCCCAAGAGTAAGCACAGACAGAAGGGTGACCCCAAAGCACCTCCCAACACCGCATCGTGCTAAAACAATCGGAAAATCCAACGCCTGGAAACGTCAGGAGTCTGCTGAATATGGCGATGGTTCTGTTTCTTGCAACAAGTGCAGACCTCACTCTAGGGAGAAGATCTCCGTGGTTCCTTTGGACAACAACAACAACAATAATGGAGTTAACAAACACTCCTTTTCCATGGCAAGTCCTAATGGGATCTTCAAGTCCATCTTCCATTCTTTAACAAGAAAGAGTCCCAAATCAAATGACGCGTCCACACCCAGAGAAGAGCAGTGGAGAATTGCTGTTGCTGAACTCACACACAAGCTTATTCAATCTACAAGAAGGAAAGACGAAGCAGTGCAGGAGGCTTGGAGGTTGAAGCACACCATGGTTGAGCTTGAGAAGAAGCTTAACAAGCTTGAAGTTTACTGTCATAATCTGAAGTCAGGTCTGGATGAATGTAACAGCAATTCTCCTTATAGAATGGGTAAAGCTCATAATATTCATCAACCCAAGAATCAAGATGGGGACATTGGAGCTAATGAGAAAGTGATCCAACAATTCTTGATGTCCGTCTCTGAAGCTAGGTCTTCAATCAGACTTTTAAGTAGATCACTCAGCATACAGTTAAGGCACACGGGCAGCAAAGTTTGCGACAGAATATCTCTGCTATTACAGCCTTATGATTTGAAGGTTTCTCACTCCAAGAACCCCAAAAGCCTTCTCCTTTACATCGAAGCTTTGTTGAACAATGCATTCTTTAAAGATTTCGAGTCCATTGGGTTTCAAAAGAATGCAGTTAACCAATTATTGAACCCCATCGATCGTTGCGAATCAAATTATGGTTCGTTCAATAATTTACAAGGTTTAACATGGGAGGAGGTCTTGAATAAGGGGACCAAGTATTTTAGTGAGGAGTTTAGCAAGTTCTGTGACAGGAAAATGAGTGAAATTGTGGCTATGTTGGGATGGAACAGAGCTTGGCCCGAGCCATTGTTGCAAGCCTTCTTCGTTGCTTCAAAGAGTGTGTGGTTGGTGCACCTTTTGTCCAACTCGGTGCACCCTGCCATACCAATCTTCAGGGTGGACAAAGGGGTAAGATTTGATTCACAATACATGGAGGACATGAGTGGAGAAAGGGCCATTAAATTAGTTCCAAGCATGGTTCGGATCATGATCACACCAGGGTTCTATGTCTATGGCAGTGTAGTTAAATGCAAGGTGATTTGCAGGTACCACAACAACATGGATAGTAGTTTAATTAACAAGGGCTTAACCCCATCTCCTTAGTGTATTAAATTTAGCCAGGCTTGAATCAAAACATTGGATTTGCCTTTTGCACTTTATATTATTCTGGTGCCAGTTATGTTTACGTGAATGGAACAGGCATTAATTATCTGAAGCAGATATGAAAACCCACTGTCACATGTAGATTAGATGCTTATCTTGGGAAGTGTTTTTGGATCTTATATTGTTTGTTTGTTCGATGATATTAGTTAATGGTCAATTCGTTGTCCAAATTTCCAGCCTTGATCCTCAACAATACACTTCAATTGATACTCATAAGCTTCTTTGGATATTATATTGAGATATTGTTAAAGAAATTCTATGATCCTAAATATAAACTATTTTAAGGTGTAAAGGACCACTCAAGTTAATATTTGAAGGACATTGTCTGTAGTGATGATTATTCCCTAGTTTACAACATTTTTGTTATTTTCCTCTTGGCTGTGACTTCGGTTCTGCTTGTCCATACTCCACAGGGTTCAACTTTAAATTGTATCTTAACAGATAACAGGGTGAGCGGTGAGCTTAGATATAATTTATTTTCCTCTTTTTTTTTAAGCTTTTCCTTGAAAGCTGGTCTCTTTTCTCACCCAGCCCAAACTTCTTTCTTGAGTGATAAAACCAAAGCTTCGTTAAAGGTACAATAGTGGATTTAATTAATAGTTGTTTAAGCATGATTAAGAATAGTTTAAAAACAACAATTAAACACACTCGTATTTTGATGTTCCTGTAACTATGAGACGGTGTTGGTGTGCCTTTGTTCCTCATTTCTCTTTTGTTCGTGCAATTAATATTGAGCGAGTGTAGCGTGTTATCGATTCGTTTAATATTGGAAATGACCATTGAACCTCATCAGATGAGATTTACCACGCAGATTTGCTGCACTAAAGCTATATTTATCTCTCATAAAATTATCATTCAACAATGCTCGAGATTAGGCAATTATTTTACAAACTAATCATAAGATCACCAAAGTTAAAGTCCAAGAATTCCGTATGATTCTGAAAGGAAAAAGAGAACACAATTTAACATAATCACTAAGGTCATTTTATAATCATTTCTTCTGCATAAATACATCATAACATAAAATCCCTCACATGTTCGTATTACAATAAACTTTCAGTAACTGAAATTGATGAAAGTACATGACTGAGAAGTCATGGTTCCTCTTCCATCAGAAGCCACCCGTGGTTTGATGGTGTTGACCAGGGTTTCAAATCACGGTCGTGGTCGCATTTTCGGTCATTTCGGTTTATTGTGATTGTGGCCGTCGCGGGCGCTATTGCGGGTGTAGCGGGCAACTCGGACGGCGGCGAAACCGTTATTTCGCGGGAGCTTTACATTTTCGGACCGTGATTTGAAACCCTGGTGTTGACTGAAAAGGGATCAAAGACCAAACTTTTTCTGTTGCCTACGATTTCGTATATCGTGTAGCTCAACAGTTGAAAATATGTTCCGATGATTTCCTTGTTGGTGTTGCTTCCCCACCTCAAGATATAGAATTGCTCAACGTTCCTCAGTGGCTTGATGAATGGTAAACAAGAATTATCTATATGACTTGCCAGAATTCTGTTTTTTTTGTCAACAGTTTGGTAGTGGAGTTCTATTCTATGCGGTGAGATTGACAATCAGATTGTCGAAAACTGGACAGTAAGTGTAAAGTTGCAGGCCTTAATTGCTCATAATTCCGTTATTTTTTTTCTTCTTGATGCCATGAATCCGGAGTAGAAGTGGAATAATATCTGAATTACGTAATTGTTCTTTATCAAAGGAAGCCAAAGTTGGATAAACGATATTAGACAAATTTGGCGCGAGGGAAATAAACGTGCAGATCGTCCGCCTAACATGGCGAGTGAACAAGAGGATGATATAAGCATACTGACAAATCCTCCGAATGATCTAATTCCTTTGTTGATGGCAGATGACAGAGGAGAAGTCACGCTAAGCATGTAGGCTGAAGGCCGTGATAAAATTTCTTGATGTATCAAAAAAGAAAGGAAGCCAAGTTAAAAAACTCATTTTTATTAGATCATGTCATCGAAGTTAAACAGCGTGGCGACAAAAAAACTCAATTACTAAATTAAAGTTTTTTAAACTTAAGTGATTAAAATAGGAATGAGAGTAAAGCTAAGTGATGATCAGTGTACTTTACCCGGGAAAAATAAAGGCTCGTTTTCCTTCATTCTTTGTTTCCTTCACATTTTTCTCCTTTGATTACCCTACGATCTTTCTCTCCGGTTTTTCATTTAACTGGATCGGCTAATCCGAGATTTCAGAAACGATGTCGTATTCAGATTCCGACTCATCCTCCGGCGCTGGTGACTACAAGAATTTCAAGCAAATCAGCCGAGAAAGTAAGTTCGATATCTCTTTGTTTAAAGTTTTTTTTTTCAATCCAGTTTAACGCTCAAACATCAATATTCTGTAATCATTTTGCTAAATCCATCTCGTTGACAATCGTTGGTAGTTTGACTTAGTCATAAAATTTCAACTGAATTATTTTTTCGGAATTAGTTCACCTGTTAAGTTGATTCTCAAGGACTAGTTCCAAAACTAACATTTTTCAGATTTGACTGAAATTTTTGCTTCTTATGAAGTCCTCTTATTTTAATAAAATATTTACTTCAAAAATAATGAAAAATTGGATAAAGAAAAAACGATATCGTGATCTTTTCATAATTAATCTCCGAAGCTGTGTTTATTTCTTTCATTTCTGTATTTTGATATATACAACACCGATAACAAGTGGTGAATGAGAATGACTTCAACATCGAACAGTGCTAACAAAAAGCCAAACATTAGTTCTGTGGCTGTGCTATATGCTGGCATTTTATGCATTCTCATTTTTTTTTTTGTTGCTGATAACTATTTTAAGAATGGTATTTCTGATGTCTAGAGGTGGTGAGACTTTTTGCGTGACCTATGGTTGATTATTTTGTATAAGAGTGTTCCACTATGGAATTATGCATAATAGGAATGAAAAGTTAAAGGCAGTTTCATTTTTGCACTTTGTAGAAGTTTAGGGATGTTTCACCAGTATAGTCAAGGGGAGATGCCTGAACTTAGAAATGTCACTGCCCCTAGGCAAGTGCTTCTATTGAGGAACCTTAGCTTTCTGCCTAGGCTTCGTCTAGTGTTAGCTGTTCTTTGCTTTCCAGGCTATTATATTATTAAAATGCGTTTTAAATTTTATTGCTATTTTCAAGCATTCTTTTAGGGTGATCTTGTTGCTGATAATTTTTGGTGTTTTAACTGATTTCATGTTTTTATTTATGTTTGATATATGTAAAGGATTATTATACGAAATGCTTCGTTTTGCAAATGTGAAGGATTCAAAATCTACATGGAAGGTACTCTAATATTGCTGTGATTCATTTTTGCCATTATTGGCTTGGCTCTGTTTTGTTTCTATTGTGTCTAGTTACTAGAAATTCCATTCTTATTTCTCTTGATTCACAATCTGTTCTAAGCAGGTGCTAATCATGGACAAAGTTACGGTTAAGATAATGTCTTACTGTTGCAAGATGGCTCACATCACATCGGAAGTAGTTTCATGTAATCTATGTGTTTTTGGTCCTCTTAATGGTTGCATAACAATTGGTCTAACTAGGTCTGGGTGTTGAACTAGATCATTATACGCTTGGAATATTAAATTTTGAAGGATTAATTTTGTCCTGCTATCTTAATGATTATGTACTTGTTGTGCAGTGGTAGAAGATATACACAGACGTACGCAGCCATTGCCATCAATGGATGCTATATACTTCATTAAACCAACCAAAGAGAAGTAATGTATCTTCCCTTTACTGAGTTTCAATGGTTAAGGCTTTATCTGGGTTAGGGTGTGTTGAAAGTATTGTTAAAATGGTTTTCAAGTTTGATAACCAACTTTGAAAAAATGATTTTCAAAGTTTGGTAAATGTTTCTTTGAAAATGGTTTTCAAAGTTTGGTAAATGTTTCTTTGAAAAATAGTTTTTCAAAGTTTGGTAGATGTTTGTTGAAAAATGATAATGGGATAATCACAATTAATCCCTAGGCTTTAGGGTATTTACAAGATTAAATCCTTAAGTTTCAACTATAAATACCCTAACTCATTTAGCTTCAAATCCATCCTAAAAATCATTTCTTTCTCCCAATACTAGAGAGTTTTCTTGTGAGTAGTGAGTGTTTTGTAAACACCTGTAAATTTTCTCTCTTAGTAAAAGATCTACAGCAGTCCGGAGACGTAAGCAAATTGGATGAACTCCGTTATCAATTTCGGGTATTATTTTTCCGCTTTTATTTCGTATTCTCACTAATCTGGTTATAGGAAAATTACTCGTACTCGGTTTATTTCCTAACAACTAGCATCAGAGCTTTTGGTTGTGAATTTTGTCAATTTTTTACGATGTTACTATTCATTACTATTCACGTAAATAGTGAATTTCGTGAATAGTAAAAATTTTGTCGGCGATACGAGTTTGTCGACGGAGGTGTTCTAATACACGGTGGTTCGCAAGAATTGTCAGAAACGATCCAAACGAAACTAGATTCGAGTGGGAGCGATGGCTGCAGAGGAAGGGAAGGTGAAAATTGAAAAGTTCGATGGTGCAGACTTTGGCTTTTGAAAGATGCAGATCGAATATTTTTTGTACAAAAAAAAATCTATATCAACCTCTCTCAGGAAAGCAACCAGAGGGCATGAAGAATGAAGACTGGGCTCTTCTCGACATACAAGCCCTCGGAGTTATCCGACTGACGTTATCCTGCAATGTTGCTTTCAACATAGCAAAGGAAAAGACCACGGCGGGTCTTATGGCGGCTCTCTCCAGTATGTATGAGAAGCCATCAGCCTCAAACAAAGTGCACTTGACGAGGCGATTATTCAATTTGCGGATAACGAAAGGGGCATCGATGGCACAACACCTAAATGAACTTAACACAATCACAACCCAGTTGAGTTCAGTGGAAATTGAATTCGATGATGAAGTTCGAGCTTTAATTCTCTTATCATCTCTACCAGACAGTTGGAATGCTACTGTTACAGTAGTTAGCAGCTCTTCGGGAAATAGTAAATTGAAATTCGACGATGTTCGTGATCTGGTACTGAGCGAAGAAATTCGACGGAGAGAATCGGGTGAAGCATTAACCTCCTCAGCCTTGCACACGAAGTCCAGAGGGAGAACTTCAGAAAGAAATTCAAATCGTGGCAGATCGAAATCCAGAAGGGGCAAATCAAGAACAGAAAAGAAAGATTTTACCTGTTATAATTGTGGCAAGAAGGGTCATTTTAAAAGAGATTGTCGAGCACTGAAGAAAGATACCGGTGCATAGGAATCTGCCAACATGACAGAGGAGACAGGTGATGTCATGATTCTAAGCGTCAACACTCTGATTGAATCATGAATCTTGGATTCATGGGCATTTTTCCACTCCACCCCATGCCGAGAAATCATTGAGAACTATGTCAATGGTGATTTTGGAAATGTTCATCTAGCTGATGATGAAACCTTGAAGATCGTCAGAAAAGGAGACATCCGATTAAAGTTGTCAAACCAGACCACCTGGACGTTGAAAGGAGAGACATATTACTGGCCTCAAACACTGAGCGAAGAAATTCGATGGAGAGAATCGGGTGAAGCATCAACCTCCTCAGCCTTGCAAACGGAGTCCAGAGGGAGAACTTCAGAAAGAAATTCAAATCGTGGCAGATCGAAATCCATAAGGGGCAAATCAAGAACAGGAATTAAAGATTTTACCTGTTATAATTGTGACAAGAAGGGTCACTTTAAAAGAGATTGTTGAACACTGAAGAAAGATACTGGTGCACAGGAATCTGCCAACATGACAGAGGAGACAGGTGATGCCATGATTCTAAACGTCAACACTCCGATTGAATCATGGATCTTGGATTCAGGGGCATCTATCCACTCCACCCCATGCCGAGAAATCATGAAGAACTATGTCAATGGTGATTTTGGGAATGTTCATCTAGCTGATGATGAAACCTTGAAGATCGTCGGAAAAGGAAACATCCGATTAAAGTTGTCAAACTAGACCACCTGGACGTTGAAAGGAGTGAGACATATTCATGGCCTCAAAAGAAATTTGATTTCTGTAAGAAAACTTGATGGAGAAGGATATAACACAACCTTTTCAGGTTGTGAATGGAAGATTACCAAAGGAGCACTCGTCATTGCTCGTGGTAAGAAGACCGATACTCTCTATGTAACCTCAAATTTAGAGAATATCATTGCAGTTGCAGATGCTGATGGAAAATCAAACCTATGACACCAAAGACTTGGCCATATGAGCGAGAAAAGGATGAAGACACTTTTATCAAAGGGGAAGTTGCCGGATCTAAAGAATGTAGATGTCGGACTATGCGAGGTTTGCATCTTTGGAAAACAAAAGAAAGTCAGCTTTGCAAAGATTGGTAAGACACACAAGGCTGAAAAGTTAGAGTTGATTCATACTGATGTATGGGGACCATCTCTAGTTCCATCTCTTGCAGACTCCTTATATTATGTCACCTTCATCGATGATTCTACAAGGAATGTGTGGGTTTATTTTCTGAAGAAGAAATCAGAAGTTTTTGATACCTTTAGAAAATGGAAGGCCATGGTGGAAAATGAGACTGGTTTGAAAGTCAAGCGGTTGAGGTCTGACAATGGAGGAGAGTACAAAAATAGAAGATTCAGAGATTTCTGCGCAAACAATGAGATCAAGATGGAGACAAAAGTTCCCATGACACTGCAACATAATGGCGTAGCAGAGCGTATGAACAGAACTCTGAATGAACGTGCCAGAAGCATGAGGATACATGTCGGATTGCCCAAATTTCTATGGGCTGAAGCTATCAACACTGCAGCTTACTTGATCAACCATGGGCCCTCAATTCCTTTGGATGGCAGAATACCAGAGGAAGTTTGGAGCAATAAAGAAATAAACCTTTCACACTTAAAAGTGTTTGGTTGTATTTCTTATGTACACATAGACTCTGCTGAAAGAAGTAAATTTGATGCTAAGTCCAACAAATGTGCCTTTCTTGGTTATGGAGGTGATGAGTTTAGTTACCGTTTTTGGGACTACGAAAATCGGAAGATCATCAAAAGTAGAGATGTCATTTTCAATGAGAACGTGATGTACAAAGACAGGTCAACCATAGAATCAAATAGCTTCAATACTGAAGCTGAAACAAAGGAATTTACTGAGTTCGAGGAGATTTCTGGAAATGATGTTCAGATCAGTCCTGAAGCAGTTCAAGAAGAACCAGTCACACCAGAACTGAGACGTTCCTCCAGAATTCCTAAACCAACCCAACGGTATTCTCCTTCTTTGCACTACTTGTTGCTGACTGACAATGGTAAACCAGAGTGCTATGATGAAGCAATGCAAATGGAGGATTCAGTCAAGTGGGAGTCTTCCATGAAAGATGAGATGGACTTGCTTATGTCAAATCAGACGTGGGAATTAGCTAAATTACCACTAAGCAAGAAAGCGCTCCACAACAAGTGGATTTACAGGATCAAAGAAGAATATGATGAGAGCAAACGCTACAAAGTACGATTGGTTGTCAAAGGTTTTCAGCAAAAGGAAGGTATTGACTACAATGAAATTCTCTCTCCAGTTGTAAAATTGTCTACAATCAGACTGGTGTTGAAAATTGTAGCTGCAGAAAATTTACATCTTGAGCAATTAGATATAAAAACAGCTTTCCTTCATGGTGATTTGAAGGAAGAAATCTATATGAGGCAGCCAGAAGACTTCATAGAGGCAGGAAACAAAAACCTGGTATGCAAGTTGAAGAAGAGCTTGTATGGTTTAAAACAAGCTCCTAGACAATGGTACAAGAAGTTCGATAGCTTCATGGGTAGCAATGGTTTTACCAGATGCCAAGCAGATCATTATTGCTACATCAAGAGATTCGACAATAGCTTCATTATTTTATTGTTGTACGTTGATGACATGCTCGTTGCAGGCTCAGACATGCAAGAGATTATAAACTTGAAGCAAAAATTGTCGAATCAGTTTGCTCTGAAGGATCTGGGCGCTGCAAAGCAGATTCTTGGGATGAGGATCAAGAGAGACACAAAGTCGGGGACTTTGATATTATCACAGGCTGAGTACATCAACAAAATACTTTACAGGTTCAACATGCAAGATGCTAAACCAGTAAATACACCTTTAGGTGTTCATTTCAGACTCTCCAAAGAACAGTCACCAAAGACGGAGGAAGAACGTGCACACATGGTGAAGGTGTCGTATGCCTCAGCAATTGGAAGTCTGATGTATGCCATGGTTTGTACCAGGCCAGATATTGCTCAAGCAGTGGGAGCTGTTAGCAGGTACATGAATAATCCGGGCAAAGTACACTAGGAAGCAGTCAAATGGATCCTCAGATATCTGCGGGGTACCACAAACAAAGTACTTTGTTTCAAATGTGGAGATACGATACTGGCAGGCTATGTAGATGCTGACTTAGCCGGAAATGTTGACATCAGAAGGAATACTACAGGGTATGTCTATACTCTAGGAGGAACCACAGTGAGTTGTGCTTCTCAACTACAGAAGATAGTTGCTCTCTTCACAACTGAAGCAAAATATGTCGCTGTTACGGAAGCCAGCAAGGAGATGATTTGGCTCCAAAGTTTCTTGGAAGAGTTAGGCAAGAAACAAGAAAACAATGTCTTGTATTGCGACAGTCAAAGTGCTATATATCTAGCAAAGAATCCGTCTTTTCATTCCAGGGCAAAGCACATACAATTGCAATATCATTTTATCCGGTCTCTTCTAGAAGATGGGATTTTGAAACTTGAAAAGATCAGTGGAGCTCAAAATCCGGCAGACATGTTGACAAAGACGGTGACTACAGACAAACTGAAGTTGTGTTCAACTTCAGTTGGCATGCTAGAGTAACAAGACTAGAAAAGCTGTTGCATTGATCGAGGTATGAAGGTAGATTAAAATTAGTCTTCAAGTGGGAGATTGTTAAAAGTATTGTTAAAATGGTTTTCAAGTTTGACAACCAACTTTGAAAAAATGGTTTTCAAAGTTTGATAAATGTTTCTTTGAAAAATAGTTTTTCAAAGTTTGGTAGATGTTTGTTGAAAAATGATAATGGGATAATCACAATTAATCCCTAGGCTTTATGGTATTTACAAGATTAAGTCCTTAAGTTTTAACTATAAATGCCCTAGCTCATTTAGCTTCAAAATCATCCCAAAAATCATTTCTTTCTCCCAATACTAGAGAGCTTTCTTGTGAGTAGTGAGTGTTTTGTAAACACCTGTAAATTTTCTCTCTTAATAAAAGATCTGCAGCAGTCTGGAGACATAAGCAAATTGGCTGAACTCCGTTATCAATTTCGGGTATTATTTTTCCGCTTTTATTTCGCATTCTCACTAATCTGGTTATAAGGAAATTACTCGTATTCGGTTTATTTCCTAACAGGATGTCCCCCCCTAACACACCCCTCTATTTTTGGGCCGAATATTTTGTAGCTGAGCACACAGTTTAGTCCATTTTCCTTCCTATTGTTACACTTGTATAACTTTGTATTTACAGGAGCACAGCAAACATGAAACACCATATCCATCATTTTCCCATGTGATGATGACTTTCATAGTTTTGACTACCTTTATCTTAGATGAGCTCATGTCATATTTCTGAAATCAGAGACAAACCTGGCTATATTTTCTAACTAAAAATTTTCCCTTTTAATGATGCTTGCATGAATGTATATTTTTGCACAAGATGTGGTTCTGCTGATAAATTTTAAAAGAACCATTTATGTGAGACTTAACACATAACAGTATATTTCTCTTGAAGTTTTTTCCTCCACCGTTATTTCTGCACTTATTTACTTTTGCAGCATTGTTATGTTCTTTTCAGACATGCCTGGAAGGACACCCTTATATAAGAAGTATGTGCAAGATTTTTACTCGGTATTTGTCCTTACACGTGTGGTTTTATATCCTGAATCCTGAGTATATTGCAGTTTCTGATATATATATTTTTTCTTTTATTTGGTGTGTGGAGAAAGGGCCTTTGTATACTTCAGTTCACCTATTCCAAGAGAACTGATTGCACATATCACGAAGGATTCAAGTCTTGCTGCCTCGATAGGTGCATTGAGTGAGGTTAGGCTTTTGTTCTTCAGATTGGTCATTGCATGAAGCATTGATTGTGCAAATAATCACATTGTTGTCTTATTTTTTCTTTTTTCTCCAATTAATCATTGAGTTGTCAGTTGGTGCTCATTGTTGTTATGCTGAAATATGTAGATGGAGTACTTTGCAATAGACAGCCTGGTATTTTCTTTGGTCACTAAGTTGAATACCGTACAAAAGCTAGAGATAGTCAGAATTAAAGTTGCATAAATTCGATTAAAATAGTGATTTTTAGCCCTTTTTTTCAAATAAAAGGAATATATAATGGACTCACTGATGCCTTCATATCATTTTGAGGATCATTTAATTTAGATTTGCTTGGAACTCGCAGAAAGCATCAAGGTTGCATTTTGAGATGCAAATTTTGGTGAAAAATGAATCTTATAAAGCCTTGTTCATGCTATATCTTGGGAAGGATATGGTTTCTAGTACTTTAACCTTGACTTTTAAGCGTTTTTTTATGTCATAGGATGAAGGTTATATGTTATATTTGTAATTTACCTAGTTGGCTTTTATGAACAAACATAATTTACCTAGTTTTTCTTAATTGATGTTAAAGTGGTAAGTAATGGCTTGTCTGGTTATCAAGCTAACATTTATTTTCTTTAATAAAGAGTTTCATAACTGATAATGGGAAGGCTCTAGAGCACCTTTTTGGCCGCAAGGGTGATGCATGTTTGAATGTGATGGCTACCCACATTGCTACAGTTTTTGCTTCATTAAGGGTATGCAACCTTTTCTGATCTTTATTCTGAAACATTTGGAGCATTTTCTGATGTTTTTTTATCAGGAGTTTCCTTTTGTTCGCTACCGGGCTGCCAAGTCTCTCGATCCAATGACCATGACTACATTTCGTGATCTAATTCCCACCAAGCTCGCAGCTGGAATCTGGAATTGTCTTGTGAAATGCAAATCAATTCCTAACTTCCCTTGGAAGGAAACATGTGAGTTGCTAATCCTTGATAGATCTATAGATCAGCTTTTCATATTTAATATTGGTTGCAGGGTAACGTGATCTGCATTTTCTACTAGTTCTATCTCTGCTTATGGTGGTTGATCTGGTGTTGCTATTTACTAATAAATATGTTCATTTCTTCTTTTGTGCTTGTTTGCTTGTGGAAGAAGCATGCAACTAGGTAAGACAGTAACGGTGAGCAAGAAACATGGCAATTATCACGCTTTTACCCTATATAATAGAGGTGAGAAAGAAATACATATTTCTGCAGCATTCTTTTCCAATGTATTTAGTTTTATAGTGTCCAAAATGCAAAATGTTAATTAATTTATTAATAGATCTCAACGCAATAGATTTATCTACAGAGGTATTATATTTCAAGTGGGTCTAAATCTTTCAATGAGAGATTATTTTGCAATTGTCTTGTTATATAATTGATTCCTACAGGCTACATCTTTCAACAACTAATCCAAAACAGAAGTAAAATGACCATCTTGCAATTTTGCATTTGACATTTTAAGAGTTAATGGCAAAACACATGAATTTGTTTTCCTTTTTTCAGGAGCTTGTTGAAAAACTTGGCAAAGGAGAACTATCAAAGGATGATTGATTATTCTTGCATGAATGATCCTAGTCCATCTTTCCATGGCATATCTCAAGCTGCACCTATACATGAAGCTCCAGTTGCTCATCCCATTAGATCGAGGAGGACACCGACATGGGCTCGGCCTCGCAGCTCAGATGATGGGTATTCATGGACCTGATCATGTCAGTTACCTTTATAGTCGTCATTTTTTCCACTGCTGTGTCGAGCAACTGTGATGTATGACTGTCTTAAGCCATCAATGCCACTGTAGGACTGGCAAGCATGCCTTGTGCTTTCTTATCATTAGTGCTATTTCTATTTCAGTGATTCAATTCTAAGACACTCATCGAGTGATTTCAAGTTCAGCAAACGCATTTTTGTGTTTATAGTAGGTAGAGCTACAAGATTTGAGGTATGAAAATTTTATGATCTTCTTCAAGACCATGAGGTTATATTGTTAAAATGATGGGGCATTTCTAATACTTTTTGTGCTCTCCTAAAAATGTCCATGTACAGCTAAGAGCCTGCCACAAGCTTAGGGGAAAGTTGAATAGAGAAGTTATTTTAGGCTCCACGAGTCTTGATTATCCTCTACAGTTTATCACGGTATTGAATTTCCAACACTAAAATATTCTCATTTCTACTTATTTGTTTAGCTAAATTTGTATTTGTCATGATATGCAGAAAATGAAGCAGCTGACAGCACATGAACTGTCTTTGGATGATCTACAGATATAATAGAAATGTGGCTCCGTGCTCCATTCTGATTTGATTCGTGATCATAGATCTGTGGTGTTATTTCATTTCAATGGTCACATGAAAAAAAAGGCCGCCCCCTCTTGGCCATGCCTCTCCAGAATTCCTCAGCGTCAGAGCTTCATTCTGGGCCATGTATTGTAATTGATGTGCAAGAGGAAGTCACCAAGAAATTCGCCTGTATAAGTGTTGTAATTGATGAGAAATAACTAGTGAATTTTGAAAACCTGAAACATAATTGAAGCCTAACCCATTCTGCTGAAACTTAATTCATCTGGATTTTTCCATATTCAGTTCTCTAGGGTTTGAGTCATTTAATGGAGGGATTCAAATTCAAATTTCTTCTTTTTTACTAAGGAAATGCTTCTCTATCCCGAAATTTTAATATTCTTTCCACGACGCCTGCCTCTTGGAAGCCTCCTCACTATAGTCCAGAACCCAATTAGCTTTCCCCAAAACCCAAACGCTGGAATCAATGATAAGAAATACCAACTTAAATGAGCAAAACGGACCTGGGCCAATTGACCACATACAATAAACTTAAACATTAGGATCCTTTCCATCCTTCAACGGCGGTGAAGAGTTCCATGTCAAAACAGATGGTTATGCTCTAAATTTTAGTAGCATTATACGTAAGGATACAAATGAATTGAGCTTGAATGAATAAGGATGTATTGTAAAAGGTAAGTTTGGTAGTGAGCGAGCTATTTCAGTTAACTCATAATTCTTTTTTTTAAATATTCAGACCGTTTGTAATAATTTAGTTCGATTTCGTTTTTGATTTTTTATATTAATTTTAAATTTATTCTAATAAATGATTTTATTTATATTATTTTTTTTTGCCCAAAGTTTTGTCTTGACTAAATCCGAACATCTATGTCGCAAACTTGACTTTGGTGGGTGAGTCTTCCAATAAGGATTTTCTGCATACACAAAAACTTAAACTTAAGACATTGCTTAATCAATATAAACCTGACTACCACTTAAACCAACATCTATTTGTGATTTTGTTTTATATTATTTATAAAATATAAAATTTAATTTAATTCGTATAATTTCATATTTTAAATTTATGAATTATAAACCGTAAAATATCATTGTTTAGTTCGATTTCTATTTTAGTTTGTTCCATGTTTTCCCACTTCAATCCCTGGTATATCATTTTATAAACATTAATATTTGCATTTTTATTGTATGTATTTTAATGTACACTCCTTTTTTAAACATAAAAAAGAAAACGATAGCGGTGATAATTAATTAAATAATTACTAGTATCGACTGAAATCAAAATTCAATTTGTTTAATTTTTTTTAAAAAAGAATTGACATCAAAGATTACATAAATTGAGACAAGCAAACTTACCTAAACAATTAAACAAGCAGTTGTGGAATCAAATAAATAGATCTGCTTGACATAATCCCTTCACCTAATCTCAATGAAAGCGACATTGCAAGACTTATTCCTGCAATTTCTTAATCAGGTTTCCACCTAACGAACACACTTTTGGCTTTTTTCAGCTTATACATCTTATCAATAAGTTCCATTTGATCCCATAGTTTAAGCATTGTTCTACACTCTAAAGCCTGAAAAGATATATAGTCGTTCATCAGCTGAAGAAGATATGCATTACTGCCCGACATATATGGCATGACAATGAGATATGAAACAATTTGTGTGACTATATTCTCTGATTAAATGACAGATGCAGCTTTCAGTCACTCTCATATGGCCACAAAGTTGACTCTTTTCTGTCGTCTTCTCAAAGTGATTCTTGATTTCTTCAAGGGAACGACATCATGATTCATGCTTACTATTAACAAATCATTATCCCAATTAATAAATCGTTCTAGTGTAAACTTTACAAACCCTTTTAGTTTGTGTTGTTTTTCCTGCTTTTGATTCCTTACTTTATACTGCTAAGATCAACCGTTTTGATTTTACTTTCACTAATTAATAACTTTGAATTAGTAAAGAAGATGGACAAGTTCATCATTAATTCATGATTGTATACGGAGAGAGAGAGCCTTCAATGTTGAAAACAACTGCTCTTATTGATTGATTGTTTCCAACTTGAAGAGAACGAAATCATAATTCACCCTATACTGTCTAGAATTCCTATGGGGAAAGTGATGTAATCCTAATTCCCATCTGCACTTTATTCACTGATATTACTGTGTTATCTTTTAAATATTTTTATATGCATATAGCATGGTTTTCATAGAATATTGGAGTGGGATGTCGATTAGGGGTGAAAAATTCTATTAGAAAAATTATTATTTTTATTTAATTTAATTTGGTTCGTAATTTCATAAATTCGATTTAATTTGATTTTTTTTAAATTTGAACTGATTTATAAAATAGAACACGAATAACTTAAATTTTTTAGTAATTAGTGTATTGATTTTTTAAATTTTAGTTGAATCTCTCAATTCTGTATAATATATATATATCATAGATGATTATAAAAAATTATTTAAATTAGAATCAAATAGTACCATAATATTATAAATATTTACAATTACATTTTAATAAAAACTCGAACAATTCTATTTAATTTTTTAAATAAAATTCAAATTATAAAATATGATTTATCAATTTAACTAACTAAAAAAATTTACTCGACTCAATGGACAAAACCCTCCCGCCCCAGAAGCATGAAAATAATAGAGCAAGGGTTACATCAGATGAGAAATAGTCAAATGAATGGGACCAATCTGTAAAAGTTGCTACTGTCAAACTCAAATTAGATAATTTATCTGTGCCGAGATCTTCTGCTACTATTAGCGCGTTGAAATTTGAAGGCCCGCAGACAGGTAGCTAAGAGTAATTATTCATGGACCTTCACAAATAGCATTGTTTTCATGATTTTCTTTTAGATTTTAGAATCCAGTTTTTTCTTTGATTAACGTCTGCTGGTTAGCCTTCTGCCCCATGTGAGGAATATGAAAGCTTTCGGCAATTTTACTCCAAAATCACTCTTATATGAATTAATTATCTGTCAGGCACCATTTCACCAAATTTTTCCGATCTAGTACCTTTCTGACCATCCGCGCCTTTGCGGAGTTTTATCCAAACTGGCGCCATAGCATGAAAGGCGCGGATACTTATCCGAGTTGGCGCCACGTAATAACAAGCATAGATTGTCATCCGCGCCTTTCATTAGTGGTTCCGAATTTCTCAGCCTTTAAACTCTCACATCGCCTATAAATAACACCTCTTCAACCGTAAACATCACCACATCAATTCCTCCTATATTTGTTTCACCAGTTCTTTCGATCTTTTGTTGTAAAGTAAATTTTTAATATATTATATTTATTTATATATAATTATTTGAAAAAAAATATTGTATTAATTATTTTCAATTATTTTTTGTGGTTGTAAAATTGAAAAGTGGGATCATACATCGAGACATTTTTGCCGATACAGTAACAATATAAAATTATATTATTTAAATTATTGTAAAAATTTTAAATTTTTTATTAGGTTATATTTTAATTCATATATTATATATTTAATTAGGCGTATTTTAGCTATTGTTTTTGCAGATATAAGACTCAATCTTTCAAACTATTAGAATGACATGTATTTCAGCTATTGTTTACTATGATGGAGAAATTCGGGAAGATGAAGTCGGTGTCGTGTTCGTATCAAAATCATTATGTCAAAATATCCTTCAAGAGAAGCATAACTTTTTAGGAGCTGATAATGAAGATTTCAAGGAATGTTCATGTTGTAAGTATTAGAAGAATGTCATCGCTTCAGTACAGATTTCTAGCATTGGTGTTTCCGTTAACTTATACAGTGCTCGAACTATCGAACGATGACGATGTTGCAATGATGGTTGATTCTCAAAATCATTATTCAGGCGTCGATATAGAGATGTATGCGAAATTTGTTGAAGTGTGTGTTGTTTGTGGTATGTCATTATGCTCCCACTATGGGTTTGCTCAACAAGTTTATCAAGTTGATAGCCCAACTACAGTAATGTGTAATGATTTTAACGTTATAATGGGAAATCTGCATCATGGTGCCATCCCATCAAGTTCAATGGGGAGACATTCATCAGCAACTTCTTATGGTCTGTACCGAGGTGGCTCCACAAACAAATCTGTATGGCAACATCGAGTCCAGTTTAATGGGAAGACATTCACCTGCCAATTTCTTTGACCAGAATATGGAGATGTCATCGACGCAACAATCTGTTCAGTACCCATTTGACACGATGCCTTCAAGCTCCAGGGGGAGGCATTCAACCACGAGCTTCTTCGACTTCAATGTCGAGATGCCTTCAAGTTTAAGGGGAAGGCACGCAACTACCAGCTTGTTCGACCTAAATATTGAAAGCGTGGACGAACCCTCATCTCCACTAAAAGAACCTCTTCGTGAGCCAGGTGCGGATAGTGCTGAGACTGAACTATTCGTTCACCCAGAATCACCGCAGTTCAACATAGACTCCGATGATGATGATATAGATGAAGTTTCCAAAAATATGGTACACACTGAACCTCCAGCACACATGTATGAAGTTGACTATGATGCAATGTACGGGCCAAAATTTGCGGATATGCCTAATGTTGGTGACTATGGATTTAAATCATAAGTAAATGATGATGAGTTATATAAAGGAATGGAGTTTTCATGCAAATAAGAAGCGATGATGGCAATTAAGAATTACAATATTCGTAATTATGTTCAGTTCAGAGTCAATCGCTCTACCACCGAAAAGTATGTCTGCCACTGTGTCAAATATGATAACAAATGTAGTTGGGTGGTTAGCGTATCGAATAGGAAGAGGAAAAACAATATATAGGAACTAATGATATACAATGGTCCTCACACATGCTATGCAGGAGGGATTAATTAGGATCATCCCAACTTGGACTTTGACATGATCTGCCAAACCATCATGCCCATGGTAAAATCAAGCTCCCATATAGTTATTGTTGTGTTGATTTCAGCTATACAATCACAGTATGAGTATACCATCTCATACAGGAAAACATAGAAGGCAAAGCAGAATGCCATTAAAAACTTCACGACGAATGGGATGCATCTTACAACGAACTACCAAGTTGGTTTAGGGTGATGCGCAAATTGAATCCTGGAATAATTATGGACTTCGAAACATGCCATGCATACCACAATGATCGAGTTCTTCGCGATCGATGCCAATTCTACCGACTTTTTAGGACTTACCCATAGTGCATTAATGATGTGAAATACTACAATCCCGTGGTCCAAATCGACGG